AGCCAGTGGATCATACACTTTAGACAGCCAGTTGCTCCATCTCAACACATCTGTCAGAGAGGAGGACGCGAAGGAAAGCCGAAAATGACAGACAGCCACTGCCAAGCTGTCCAGTGCAGCTTGGCACGTTTGTGAGCTGTCACAGATGAGGGCAATATCGTCCGCATACTCCAAGTCAAGAACTCGCTCTCCTGGGAGCAGATCTACACTTTCTAAATCGTGTCCTGGAAACGCGATTTCCATGACTTCGTCAATAGCGAAGTTGAAGAGGAAAAATGACAGCGGGCATCCTTGTCTCACACCGCTGGAGATATTGAAGGGCGACGACAACTGTCCGCAAGCCCTCACTCGGCCGGAGCTACGCGCGTATAATGCTAGGAGGATATTTACATATTTCTCGGGTACACCTTTCCTGACTACAGCCCCAAAGGGCACGTCTATCCACCGAATCGAATGCATCTTTGATATCGAGGAACACGACAACGGTGGGCCGCCAATATATGTGACGCTGTTCCAACAACTGACGCAAAGTGAAGATGTGGTCAATGTAGCCACGACCTCTACCAAACCCGACTTCCTCTTAACGAATCTTACATTCACAATTGCCACTCAGTCTGTGAAGGATGACAGAGGCAAGCAATTTGGATGCGATGGAGATCAGACTGATTCCTCTATGGTTGCCGCATTCCGATCGTGTGCCTCCCTTGATAATTGGGACTATGACGGAGCGGCTAAGATCGGTTGGCACAGTTCCACTTCGCTGGGTGGATCCAGTGGGTGTACTGCGTGTAATGATGGATGGTGGAGACCAGTGGAATCGCGAATGAAAGTGTTCGGCTAAGCGGTTCAAACGCATTTGCTGGTTGGTGATCAGAGACGCGTCTGCCTCGCAAATAACCTCACCGACACCAGTCGGGGTTCATCAGTATCACCAGACGTCCAGGCACTGGATCATACACGTTGGACGGCCAGTTGCGCAGCTCTAACACGTCTATCAGAGAATTAGGAGGTCTCGCGACATGATATGAGGTCACTAGAAAATACAGAGCAGATACCGTGCGGGACTTCGTATGCTCTGGGCATTAGGATGCAAGTTCTCCAGTGGTCCGAAGCAACTGTCCCTCGTCTATTCACATCGCTCATTAGACCAATCACTGGATACGGTGCCACAGCTTACCATCCGATAAACCAGTTGAAAACTGTAAAGCTGGAGAGAATATAGCATAACGCAACTAGAAGTGTACCCAGTCTACGAAAGCTTCCGTATGAAAAATGTTGTGAAAGGCTCGGACTCTACACACTATCCTACCGCCGAGTAGGAATTAGCCTTAGTATGACCCATCGAGTACTACATTTGAAGCACTTCCCCATACTGCGGCCAATATTTCACCTGCGTGAACCCTGTAACACCCGAGGGCACCGTTACAAACACAGGGTCCCCAGCATGAACAAAATATCACATCAGCTTTGTACAGAACGAAGAATCGTAAACTTATGGAATACACTAGCAAAAGGATTAATAGAGGCCGATTCTGTGAAGTGTTTTAAAACCCGTATCGACGATTATTTCGGAAACCTGTGCTTTTGTGAAATGGTGCACATACAATGCCAAAAGAAGACATCCTATACTCGAAAATAATGACACCAATACGAATTCCTAACCGAACAAGGATAAACGATTAACTGACCAAACACAGCCGCTGACGATTCACAACTAAATATATTTGATTTTTCATAATTCGACAGAGTTGTACAGAAACCTTTCTACTTGTTCTTAAATACAGTCTCACAGTCTCAGTTTAAGCACTGAAGATGCCACCTGGATTGGCAGCAACTAAGTTTTCAAGTACGGCGAGTAAACAAACTACTCAACAATAATCTCGTCGATTTTTTCTTTGACTTCTGACATGTTAAAATAGGACGACATAAAACAACGGCTGTTATATCCATGTAGCGTTCTCAAAGTCTGCCCGGAAGCATACGGAATGGACAGGAATAGGCGGTTGCATTTGACTTTTGTTAGCAAGACACAACGGTAACTGGGACCGAGTTATTTGCCGGATAAGGTCGGTCGAACTAGCTGTCAGTGAACGTTTTAAAGAAGCTGTCGTGTTCATTTTGTTCTATCCTGGCAAGCTACAGTAGCCGTTAGTGAAGGTGCGGTATTGGAGTCTGATGCTCGGTCCTCATTACTAGTTCATGTTATAAGAACCTTTATGAATGTGTGACAGTGAGGCTTTAGTATGAATTATTAATACCTGTCGGTATTCTCGTTGACAAATGTATTAGGGTGTTCATGAATGGAGGAGACACGCGGTGGTGCACATGTTTGGAGCAGATCAGCGTGAGCATCGCCAATTCAGCATGCATCCGTCCACCCACCCCACCTCTAAAAAGGCATCAGCAATACGTCGGTACGCAGCACCGGCGTAGAGTAACAAAAGAAAAACACAACTCAATAGTCTACTTATGTATCTCGTCATATCACAAAAAATCAGTTGCTTAGAATTATTTCTGAATAGCATCAAACTGCACTAGCAATAAATTAGTGAACAATGAGTCCACGCACACCTACGAATAGCCTCAACCGGAAGGGACGAGCATAGCGATATCATCGATAGGAGACACGAATAGTTCTCGAACCAATCGCGCAATACATATCAGTCGAAGGGAGATTTCGAGAGCCTGTAGGAGTGATTACCGGTTTAAAAGTTGTGCGAGGGAGAACAGCAAACAATGAGAGGGACAAACGATTGAGAACCCAACTCAGAATTGATCGATGAGATGGTGACATGTAAGCTCCCTACTCATAGTACTGTTAAATATAAAGATACAACATTTTATTTCCTTCGTGTCGGTCAGCTGCCGTCTAGAATAAATACCTTACACACGCTAACTGCGAACGACAATATCATGCTTAGGTCATCTACCGTGTTCATACACTGCATAACCACAGCTCCTTAATATTACGCGAGTAAGGTTGTGACCTTTACATTCCCGGACTTCATCGTATCGCAATTGCAGTTCACCTCATCTGTGACGTGTACTTGCTGATCCAACAAGCATGGGAAGCATGTTGCGTGAGCGGGTTTCAAAGCGGTGGCTGCATACATGTTTCAATTTGTGTTGCATTAACCTACATAGGTTGGTTGATAACAACTTTCGGTGTAGGCAGCATTTCGTAAGATAGACTTAATTCAGTTCATTTCGTGTATTCTCAATCAATCGCTTACAAACATATAGTGGGAGGATTTAGTGAGTATCTGTGGCAATGAGGCTACCAATTTGAATCTGGGGCGATCCGGGTCATCGCTTCTAGTGGCTAAGCTGGACACGAGACCAAGTTTCTTGCACAGGCTGAGTTTCTGCCGCCGGATTGCGGAAGCCTCGGCAAACCGAAGCAGTGTTGGACCGTACTGCCTATTGACGATATTGAACAAGTTACGGAGATCTTGACACGCATGGCAATCGAATAGGTGTCTAGCAATAGAGTTGGTAGGTAATTTAGGACCGCTCATCGCTAGGCCTCGCGGAACATGCTCCATAATCCTTGTAGATAACCTTCTCTCAGTCAGACCAATGTATATGTTACAGTACGTACAGTTTCGCCATGGAAAAAGTCGGGGGAGATATTTCAGTTCTTGGATGTTTCCTTACAGAGAAGACTAGATGGATGGCTAATACGGTCGATTTAGCACCAACTTAGCTGGACAGGGCCGCATCTGAACTTCAACAGTTACTGCCCGATGAGCCCTTGGTTAGCACCTGCTTCACGTGAGCGCGCCGAATACGTTCCAAAGAGTCAATCGCGAGTAAACTGCAGCGCATCGTATCAAGAGTACTCGATAATGGGTACGGTAGTAAATTAATAGCAATATATAGGGAGAAAAATCTCCAGGAAATAAAACAACCCGATGTTCCCAAGGTGTTCATCATCCTACCTTACAAAGAGGAACAAACCGAGACGCGGTTCCGCCACCGGCCATGTCAATGCGTAAAGAGATGCTATTATGCGGCTGAGCAAGTGCTAATCCACCAAACCAGAAAGTTGCTGCACCAATCTAACTTTAAGTCACCGCCTCCTGCGTTTACCAAGTTAACTGTATGTGCGGTAGCATTTATATTGGTCGGACTGAGAGAAGGTTATCTACAAGGGTTATGGAGCATGTTCCGCGAGGCCTAGCGATGAGCGGTCCCAAGCTACATGCCAGCTCTATTGCTCGATACCTACGCGATTACAATGCATGTCAGGACGAAACCGCGGTCGTGGTGTGCCAATGTTCGGATGAGCAACACCCAAATGTTTCCATTTTGGAAATGGTCCTCGCGATCGGAATGACCGAGGTTTACATCAAACTGAACCGAGGTCTCAACCCAACCACACAGCAGGTTCGCTATATTCAACTTTGAATTCCTTTCTCCTGTGCCAAACATTGCTCGCCAGTAAGCAGAACAGTACAACACTGCGCCGGTTCGCCGGGGCATCCGCAATCTAGCGGGTGAAGCTCAACCTGTGCAAGCAAGTTGATCTCGTGTCCAGTTTAACCTTGCTATGGTAAGCCATAGGATAAGCCATTGGTAACGATGATTCCGATCGCTCCAGATTCAAATTGCTTGCCTTATACTTTCCACGTCACATGCACTCACTAGATCCTCCCATTGTACGCGTTTGAAAGCGACTGATTGAGAATACATGAAATAAACTGAATTCAGTCTATCTCGCAAAATGCTGGTTGTTCTTGCTGTGTTTAAAGTTCTCAAGGGAACCGGTTGCATGAAATCTTTCAATGCAGTAAATGTCATTAGAATGCCTCCATTCGGGTGTATAGTTATTTATGATTTAAAGTTACCAAACCTATCAAATGCACACGTGTAAAGAGATTACCGAAGATAAAATACAGCATGATGTGAGAACTGAGAGAAAAGAAGTTTATTTCAGAACAACAGGACAGCCATGAATGTATACGTTGACTACAGTGTGAGTGCAATAGCGTGCTAACCTTGACCACACCATCCTCTCCGCCGGAAACGACCCATTTTCCATCTGGGGAGAAGCGCACCATATTGACGCTACCAGTGTGCCCTCGATAGGAATTAATGCATCCTTTTCGAGATACATCCCACAGCTAAAAAAGTGAACGGCCAAGTAGGGAAATGGATAAATGCAAATACAGTTGGACGACCGAAGCGTTCTATGACAATCACAGAGAGACGCATCGCATCAAAAGCTAGGAGAACAACGGAAGTGGTGTAACCACCAGTTGATTGCACACACCAGTCCATACACACACGCACACACACACACACAGCTGCAGCAGTTTGACAGATATGTCGTTCCTAAGACAGCGTAGTGGAAAGCTGCGAGCACAGCCCCGTAGCAAACAAAAAGCGACAAACATCGGCATCTGAATATGATGAACGTGCGTCTCTGTTCAAGTTCTACATAATGCGCCGGCACCCCTAAGAGTAAACATCGACAACAGTGGACAGAGTGAGCGAAACAAGCGCAAACTAGGGTAGGTGAATGGAGTCAAGTTCCGGATAAGACAGAAGATTTGCTTGCGTCACCGCAGGTGTACACTCCGACAATGTTGTGTTCACCAAGGAATCCGAAGCTGTGTGATATGCAACTACAGCTGGGAACCTGGCAAAACCCAATAATTTTGCACAAGTTTCCCTTCACAGATTGCAAAATGACGGGAACAACATTTGGACAGGATAATCTCAATGCGGTGATTTCGCGTATTATGGTCAGCCATGTACATACAATGAGTAGAATGGTTAGGTTGCATACAGAGACATTCAAGGTGCAACGTCACTGGTGAATCAAAAACGGCACTCCGCTTGGAGGAATATGGCCACCACCCTCACCAAGGCACGGCGAGACTGACGACGAAATCAATCTGTTTACACAAACCGGGTTTCACCAGCTTAATTGCTGGAGTCTCCACAAACTGAAGCAGGGGGCGGTGCATTGTCGGTTGATGATTATAAATGATAAATGAGGGTTTTCATACATAAGGCAGTCAAGTAGGTCGAGCGACTAAACTGGCAGGTAGATTCGGACGATGCGCAGATTTCTCAGTATATGCTCTGAAATCCTTGTGGACTGTGTTCTCTCAGTTCGGCCGATGTATACGCTGATGCAACGCTGGTGCAACAAATAAATTCATGAGGCAGTAACTAGTGAGTCTGCCTTGTCCATGTTAGATTTAAAAAGCAACTTTCTAACTTGATGCAAAACCATTACGTCAGTAGCGTAAGAACAACTTTTTATGGATTGACGGAGAGGATATCGGAATCTTCGGTCATTTTGCTCTTCTTTGAATGGCAGTGTTATAAACACTACTTTCTTAAGAACGTCGGTCGACCGTTCGACCATGATTTTTGCGTTCGCGTTTTAGTGCTGTGGTATGAACTTAAGATATCAGTCCTCACGTAGTGTCGAGGAGACGCGTTGCAGCTCAAACTCGACCATTACCTAAGAGCAGATCTGGAGAGCTGATTATCATCATCATCATCTGCGAGTTCTCGCAGATACGAACTAGGAAAGCAACTATTGAAATTAAGGTACTGTCCTGTATGGATGGGTTTGCGGTACAGATCCATAGATGTACAGTTTGGGTGTCATTTTAAGCTAAGAATCAAAAATGGAATGCAACAGAAGATTAGCTTTATACTGTGAAGTCGATCGCGGGGTAGCAATTGCTTACGTCAAACAACAAGTATTCTTTAGAAATTTCATGCAGGCATTTCCCTTCACGAATTTCAATAAAGCAAAAAGAAACATGTTAACAGAATTTACTGAATTCAGCGATTTCTACCTGTTCAGTATTGTCGTCAACGACGAAAGTGTCATCTATGCAGCGACTATAGTAGGTGAGGAAGTAACTCCAGATGAAGAAGAATAAGACATCAACAGTACGTCGATACTTCGTCCCAGCGTTTAGCTGCCGCGACCACCACCAGTCGCATGTGGGCTAAGGATCCTGCGAGGGTCGCCCAGTCCCCTATGCAGTCTTGAACGCGCGACCACAGGAGTACAAGACAAGCTTGTGATCCTTAAGGCCACGGGCCGGGACGGCCCATAAAGATATCAGCCAAGATAGACCCAAGTGAACTGCCCATGGCTTCAACAAACATCTTAGATAGAGAATTCAGATGAAACGAAAGTAGGCGTCCTTCGTGCACAAAAGTGGTAGTGAGTTCAGATGGCGCTGCTAGAAACTTAACCTTGCTGGCATGCACACCTATTATGTCCAGTCACTTCGGAGAGAAAATTAGTGAATAATGAACACTTCAAACGAGAGCAAGTGTCCACTTCGAAGATCAAATCCCGTATTCTGTCGACGAATTCGAAAATATCCTTAAGACTGCCCCCGGACAGTTCACGTCGAACTGGTTCAATACGTTAAGATAACCATGATGTCAACTTTTGATACGGTGCGCCAATCACTTAAGAGAGTTAACACTGTAAGACGCCTTCAGTAGGTTATACATATAAGGAAGTCGGGAACTACAAGAGCCATAGTTTTCGTAGCAATAAATCCAATCTTCACTGGCTTTTCTAATTCGAGAACTAGCGATCTCTCGACTTGTTCTGTTCTATCACGATCTGTCACATCGCGAACGAGTTAGTCAGTTAGCAATGAATGCATTTTTCGAATAAAATCAGCTTTTTCCGGTGGAACGATTTCCTCTCCTTTGTCAGGTCTCAGCATCATCATGATATCAGTTCGCCTCGATTCCATCAAGAACTTCCTGCCGTGTTCGGTTAGAATTTCATACCGTTCGGTTTCAGTAAGGCAAAATGGATTAGCCAGCTCCACTGCCTTAGTTCTAAACGAAATGCTTGCTTCATCAGTGGCAAATGTCAGACTGAACAACTGGTTATACAGGTGTTCAAACAGAACTTAAAAACACAAACCTGTCACATAAATTTGATGGTACTGAAAAGTTGAACCCAAGTAATAGCGCCTCAAGTTGTGGATGACTTAATGATACAAAGGACAAATAAAACACGCAGCTATCAGGTTCGACTGGTCTCTGATCATGGAGGCGTTCCGTTGACAATGGATTCAGGAGTTCAGCTTTTCACCAATCCTCCGAGGTTGGCTAAATTGTTGCAAGCGTTTCGTCACCATGCGAGGTGGCATCGTCAATGCGGTGATGCGCGGTGGGCAATCGCACTGATTGGATCGTGAACAACGGGCAGACACCTGCCAAATCAACAACTAGTGTTTCAAATTATTTCGGGCTCCGATGTGTCAACAGTGCTTTTTAAAGCGAATTACAAATAAAGTTGAAATAATTCGCTCGGTACACAGGATTCAAACTATATAGGGCTTGATTGAGACATCTTATTCTTTTATTTAACTCGTTCGGGTGTTGAACACAGGCGTCAATTTGGGAAATGGTAAAAGGTGGCAAGTTTCTGGGGTACGCTGGCAATTTATCCTTTCTCAGTGATTTCGAGAATCGACGCGGATAAGTGAAAGACCGCGAACATTTATTATAAATGTCCACATGAGTAATCTCAAGACAGATGAAACAACGTAACTCCACTAAATAAGTCCGAGAGCGAAATATATCCGGAATGAGACGTCTCTTTAGAAGTTTCATAAGAGACCTCCCTTAGCTAATATCAAGAGAGAACAACATTTAGATAAGATAATCTGAATAAGGTTATTTCGCGTATTCCGGTCAGCGGTCTACACACAGTTCGTGTAATGGTTAGATTGCAAACATAGACAATCAAGGCGTAACGAATGACAAAAATATGCGAAATAGCTGAGTACAGATTATTCTATCGAAATGCTGTTTGACTTGTCATTTTAAAAACATAGTAAATTTGCTTCCATGGTGTGAAACCTCTCCACCACAGTACAAACGAACAGCGTGCTACTCAAAGTAGACAAGCCAGCTGGAATACTACGCCAACCTGCCTGGAGGTCTTAACCACCAAGTTGCCCCTAATCGAACGATTGACCATTCCAAAGGTCAGGGAAGAATGCAAGTGCTTGTTATGGGAACGTCTCCAATCACACATCGTCAAATCGTATCGATAATAGCGTCATCCGGCTCTTTCTATTGCACAGCCACATTCACTGTGATATAGTAAAAAACACAAGCAAATTGCGTTTGGTTGAAAAATACTAATGAAGGTCGCGAGTCCTGTAAGTGCTCGATTAGCCTGTCGATAAGTGTGACGACACCTGCTAGTGTCCAATGTGAATGCTAGGTCAAGGTCGGAGAATAGATCCTACAATTATAGGTGAAATTCGATGGCTTGAGAAGATTCACACAGGTGGGACATCCAGAAACCTGCTAAGGTTCCGTAAAACGATCCGAAGATGGTAGAGATTGTTGAGTTCTCGCAGAAGACATGACAGTGCATGTGACAACCACATGCACATAGTAGACCATTTCTATAGTCCTTACACCAAATACTTACAAGGTGACCGCCAGGAAACAGGCGCTGATTGTGTTGTCGACAATACGTGCTGGGTAATACAAAAAAGAGCCCAGTGGAGAAAACCCAATAAACGAAGTGACAGAGCAACCGACCTCACCTTAACCACCGTATCGATGGAGCCAGAGGCGATAAAATTCCCGAACGGATGAAAATCCAATGAGCTGATCCCGGAGGTGTGGCCAGACAGGGTACGCACGACTTTCGAAACAAAGTGAAAAACAGACAATGTGACGCGGATAAACGGTGCATGAAACAGCATTGAATAGTTGGAGGAGTACATAAGGGAGAAAAGTGGATAAATTGTATGTAATTACTGAAGTTGTGGTTCCATCTGAAAATCTAAGGTAAGGATCACATAAGACATCATGATCATCATCGACAACGACAGCAACACACCTGCCATTTGACCAAGGTAATGGAGAACGATAAAAGGGACAGAAGGGGACCTGGCGTAAGACCTAGAAGCTCTAAACAAACACCCAAGGTCAAGGAGATGACATTCTGTCAACAACATACGGGCCCAAACAGCTGGTTACCATGAAAGCGAGGCATCATCAGTACACCAGCAACAGTACTGACGCTGGCTGTCACGCAATCAGCCGCGCAACTAAGTTCGCTCGGACTTACAAGGATTCGAACCGGTGACCTCAGGATAATAATGTAATCGTTTCGGTCACTATCCTACCTATCGTGAAAAGATAAGGCGGCAGCAGTTAGACAGCTTCCTTGTGGTTCTTACTACACCGCGTCATAGACAGTCATTACCCCGAAGATAACCCATCAAAGAGACACATCGTATCGACGTCTGGCTGCCACGCGACAACCGTCAGTCGAGCGCGTAGGCTAGGTGTACGGAAAGTTCGCCCGCAACTTCGTGGATTCTAATCAGTGACTTCCGAATGACAAGGCAAGCTCGTAGTCAATTCCGCAAACGTGGCCCTGTACATAAGGTCTTTCAAACCGGCAGAAACCCCACTCTGAAGCCAGTGATGTCGCAGGTTCAGGGAGATTCGGGTTTTTGACAGTTTGTGTCCATAGCCTAAGGTCGGGGCTTACAGCAAATTGTCAACAATGGGGCTTAGGAGAATAACGACATTTGGTAGGAGTCGCGTAGCCCTCCGAGAGTTAAAAGAAAGTATAAGAAACGATCAGAGTCTGTAATTGAAAATCGGAACATCGTTTAATACTGTAAAAAATGGGGAATGGTTATCTGCTTGCATTACCCACATATTGGCCGGTTCCTCTTCCGTGTGACCTCCGCGTTACTTTGCGTTCATTGATCGCACGCACCGCTTCTTTCCGTCGGCTTCTGGTCCGTCTTCGTTCATCCGCCTTGAGCCACGGTTGGGTATGGCAGCTCCGCTTTGTCTGTCTGGTCCGTTGTGCCTACCTCATCTGCATGCAGGTGTTCCGGCCGAATCAATCTGCCACTGAGCCAACCGCGATTCCTCTCTCTGGCTTGTCGATGCGTGCATCTGATTAGCCAATTTGCCATATGCGACTAACTGCCTATCGCTTAAGCGGTTATCCGGTAAGACACGCTTGATTCATTTGCAGTCGCAGCCCCTGATCGGCCCAAATAGCTACGGTAGGCTTCGCAGCTTTGCTCAAGCGAGTAGCTCTTACCACAGAAGGCATCCACGTATGCGCAGAAACGGAGATTCGAGCCGAATTGCTGTCGACTACTCTCCAAGGGAAGCGCTCCAATAGATCTAGCAAACATGCGGCGCGAGTATCCAGTGGTTGTGCGGATGAAGGTAACAGCTTGTGAGAATCCACAAGTGAATGACGAAAAATTATGGAATCTTCCGTAACAGAAGTAGCACCAACGGTTGGCAGCATACTCTCGGGGGAAATACCATCAACAGCGTTGTCAGGTCTTAAATTTGGAAGCTGAATAAATAACTGGTAAGCAGACGCTGAACTAGTGTTTTGACTCCCGCTGACTACGGGTAACCTGCTGCTATTGCGCAACAAGGTTGTCCGCTGTCACCCGTCTTTCTTAAGCCGTAAAGGATTCGTGAAAACTGCGTCCACTGGACACGAGTTTGAAAGTGTGGACCTGCTCTCAAGCAATTGCCTTCTTGACTTGGAGTAAGCCGACGACATTGCCCTCATCTATGATAGCTTACAAATGTGCAAATCAGTACTAAACAAGTTAGCTCTCGCTGTCAATCACTTCGTGCTATGCTTTGCACCCTGGAAACCCAAGGTCCTCCAAGACTGGCAGACTCACCTCCATAATGACTCTTGGTGGGTATCAACTAGAAGTTGTTCAGAAATTAAAGTATCTAGGCAGCTATATTAGCGCCCGTCGGATCTAAGGTGTCACCAACTGTGCAGTCAATGTTTGGGGCACATTTGTCATTTTCCGCCACCTGTGGCGCTGACGTATCACCACTCTCGTCCTGAAGGGCAGAGCTTACAATGTAGCTGTGCGTTCAATTCTCCTCTACGACTGAGAAACCTGGTCCATCAGGTCGACAGATATAGAAACCAGTTCGGTTCGAACGTCGATGTCTTCACAGTTTGGTCCATGTGGTAAGACCGCGTGAACAATTAGCGTGTTCGACGCCCTGTTTATGGCACAGAAAGGGTAAGAGAACAACTCAGCATCGTTTTTTCACGCGCAAGGCTCTGATGTCTTAGCCACGTGTTGCGCATGCCAACACACCGACTCCCACGTCGTGCGTTGTTCGCGCGGCCGGGCTCTGAGTGGAAGAAAAGAAGAGGAGGCCAAGTGATAATTTGGTCAAGAGGAATAAAGTACCTCACTTCGAACTTGGCGTCGATTTGTGTCTCCTAACTGTCGGGCTGCGATCCCAAGGACGACACACATGTCTGGTTGGATACACTTACTGATATGGCAAAAAGCCGGCCCCGATGGCGTTTGTGATGTAAGTTTCGTTGTCCCTCCCTAACCCGCTTATCGTCTCCCTTCAACTGCGACCTCTCTTCTGAAGGATAATACGTTACTAAGCAGTGTGTTAACTGCTTTTTGTATTCGAAAACGTTTTACATTGCGCCATTTTTATGTACCTAATGTTTTTGTATTACGGCACAAAAGTTGTGTGTTTCGCACCTTTACCTAATGTGCAATTATGATGATGATAAGAGCCAATGATGGGACCAAAATAAAAAGTTCATGAGAGAACGACCTAGCTGAAAGTACCTGAATTTCGGTACTTTCTAAATGCATGAAAATGCGCCTACTGGCCATCAAAAAAGTGTGCGTACTGGTGGACTTCAAAGTAAATCATCCTGATCGATAGAGATCAAGGTGGAACGCTCAAACTAGCTAGCCAACTGGATGACGGCTGCGCCTGGTCAAACTTCTTCGGGTTGCTAGTGACAGGACCGGCTCCAAAGATCGCTATGGGCGGACTCCATCAGCACTTCCCTGCAAAAATTTACATAGGACTTCCTGCTTGGATCCAACTGTATTCTGGTGACGGATCTCTGTACTCGAGCAGTCCAGCGTCGTGTTTGCATGTGTAGCTCTTCTGTAACTGTTGTGCGAGGTGCATCCGAAATGTTCCGAGTACTCAATGGCACTTCAGAACTGTCCAGTAAGATATCCAGAGGTAGCATTCAATTATTTGTGCTTACCAAGATGCTAGTTGGTTCCAGCTGATTGGTATGCCTGGTCCAAATCAAAGTGCCCACTAAGACACTATAGAGTTCTTGACCAAATCCTATCTGCATTGCTCATATCGCCGACTGCGGTCTTCACATACCAGTCGTTCGAGTTCCGAATCAATGTCCAGAGATTAGACAAAACTTCGCACGATGCATTTAATTCTCTTAATCCCAGGATAGGCTCGATGAAATGGCTGAAGTACGATCTGAGAGAGTTTGAAAAAAACGGTACTTCATTCGGTTGGAAGTAAACAGAAAGCAACGATTGAGAGCTCAGGTTCTTGCAGCACAAAACGTGTAACTCACCGGATAGATTATCCCTCGGCGATTGAGTAGTACGAATTCCGCCGCTTGCTGCAAGATGGGATATGATACAGATGCATCGCAAACCATCTCGAAAATCACAGTAAGACTCCAAAAGCTCTCCATCAATAATCGACACAATTCCGATTCGAGAGAGATAGTTGCAATGATAGAATCTTCCTGTTTGTGCTTCCGGTTTTCCAGTAGTCGGGAAGGTGCATCTGCTTGGCCGATGTCCTTTGCAGCCGTGCACTTAGCTACAAAACCATAACTGAGCAGGGATGAGGCGCAGCGCTGCAGTCTATTCGCTGTGTAGACGGGTGTGCCACCTACGACGCCGAAATCTGTTGTGGCTCCCGCTGATCGTACGGATAACCTGCTACTATTGCGCAATCTGAACCGGGCGAATTCCTAGATCTGAAGACAAAGGACTTCAGCAGAACTTTTAAGGAGCACCTGACAAGCTGAACGAATAGCCAATAAAAGGCTCCAAATAAATAATTCATGGGAGAATGACCTAGTTGAAAGTTCCTGGATTCCGGCAACTGCGAGATATCTGAAAATGCGCCAGTTGGCTGCCAAAACAGTGTGCTCACTGGCGGACTTTTAAGGTAGATCATCCTCATAGATGGATTTGATTGGTTAGCCAATTGGATTCAAGCTGCGCCGGGCCAAACCTCCCAGGTTGCTAGTGAAAGGATCGGCTCCGAAGGCTGCTATTGGCGGGCTCCCTTAAAAACTTGGGCGCCGGGAAGTTAGCGAAAGCTCAGAATGCTCGTGAGAACTAATATCAATAGAGGTTCCGCGCCCTCATCCACATGAGTAAGGTTGGAGAGCGTAGAGATTGACAGGGCCGGTGCAAGTGCTGCCTGCGGACACCATACACAGTTGATGAAAGTAAAGCTGGACAAAGTGAGAGATTTAAAGCAGTTAGTTCCCTTCAACAATTTGAAAAGCACGGAAAGAAGACGAAGGCTGGTAGATGCATGCATTTCGTATTGTCTCCTCAGTACCATTAACAATAACCGATATGCATAGATATAGCTAACAGTGGGTACAACCAGACAAGCTTAAGGTGCAAAACGAATGACGGAAGTTCACACCTACGTCCAAGGCAGCTTTAGGCTGACAAATAATTGTTTCTGAACACACAAGGCTGGCTTAATCCGACTTATAGCGACAGCCTCAGCAAACCGAAGGAAGCGAGGATTAGTGTGACGTAACACAACTTTAAGCGCTGAGCCCAGTTCTAATTGGTGACCCGAGTCTAATAGGTGTTTGCCAATAGGTGTATACCAATTTGTATGTGACTGCGGAAAAAGTTACATAGGCAGAACCAATAGAACGCTGACTTCCCGAATAAAGGAACATGTGCCAAGATGGGTTCAACGTGAAGTTGCTCAGATTGCCTACCCTCGTCAGATTCCATCTTCGCGCAGACCACCGGCTTCCTCGATAGGCAAACACTTTCGTATGCTTTGGGCGCTCAGGTGCAGCTTCATCACTTGATCTGAACTGAGCGCCATTCGCCTCTTCAGCTCAATAATACGACCTATGGTAGAGTATGGCTCTCCAACGTATTGTCCTATCACCCGGGGCGAAGATGAAAAGAATGCGTGAACGCAGGATGTGGAAACCAAGCTGATTCCCAGTTTACGAGGTGTGCCGTACAAAGCCCGGTGTAAGAAACTAAGATTTCATACCCTAGCTTATCGTCGACTGCGGGTTGACCGCATCATGACGCACCGGATAGTACATCGGCGTGATTACACCATGTTGAGGCCGCTGCTTAATCTGTGCACACCGGAACAAGTGTATCGCACCGGATTTGAAGCGGGTCGCTCACGAACTCTGTTTCGAACGGAGTGGTCAATGTATGGAACAACCTCCCGCGGCACGTAATTGAGGCAAAGTCGGTGTCGGAATGTAGCGAATTCCTGGACAAACACTTTGCTGATAAAAAATATATCGAGCACACCCAAAATAATGGGTCTTTGTTGCTGAATAACATTAGATGCAGCTACACAGAGATATCCATTCTTGCTGATTCCAACCAGTAAAAAGTAAACAGCTAGCGCACAGATGACAGACAGTGCCGCAAGAAGAGACTCCAGCGCCGTGTATAGTGGCATACATATTAATCCCCAGAAGCCAACTGACATGAAAAACCATCAGGTGAAAGGCTGGTATGCACGGTATCCCGGCAGTTTTGTTTAATTGCAGACTGAGATCATTACTCCATCGTCTGTCGATGGAAATGTTTGATTCGTCTCGGCGAAGCTCGTCGAAAATGTGCAACGAAACTGGGCACGATCAGAGTTGACGCAAATGTTGTAGAGTGAGCGGCACTCCAAGTTGGAACTGAGACACCTGGAACTTACGGCGTTGCGTCTAGTTACGTCCAACGCTGACCAACTATGACGGGACGCTAAGAGTCAGTAGTGTTCACTGCGCAAGAAGGCCGCGATGCTAAGAAACAGTTGATGCACCGCGCACAGCTGCAGCAAACACTTCCCATTGTCTGTGCATTCATTCTGAGTGAAGCCCGAACTAACCAATTAGCTGAGCATCCGGGGAGTTAAGACGACCTACTTGCGCGTTCATAACCCGTGTCACTAAAACAAAGCATGTAATAACACCCGATCAATGTAGTACATTAGATTTGTAGTAAATATCGTCTTTGGTAGAGATGGCGGTGTTCAAGCAGTTGGCATAGTGTGAAGATCTGGTCAACGCATTCTCGACCGGGGCGAAAGCCAGCTTGTTCTCGGCAAAACAAACAGATAGCGTCGGACGTCACCCCGTGCGCTACCTTTGGTCGATCCTGTCAAATGTACTGCGCACAAGCGGCTCCTCACGGAAATCTAATCCTTGGAGTTAAGAACGATGTCCATCCCATCTTCATCTGTGTTTGATTCATCAATGTTCCCGGATATGTGCAACTAATAGCAAGAGGATAAAAGGGACGCTGTTACTCCGATAACTTCATGAGGATCACTGATCCTAGTTTCGAGCACACAGCATACATCGACACTAAATGTGCCCAATATGCGTGCAAATGCAGCCTGATGGCCTATTGGTCTTAGAGTGTGAACGTTGAACGTCGCCAGAGTGACAGAGCAGTGTGGCCTTATAAGGAATTTTTATAGTATGAGTGCAGAGAGTGCTGTTGAAATGTAACTGCAGATGGTAGAATCCCAACGGTATTGCAGTTGCTGTCAAGTAGGCCGAGAATTGTGAGAGGAAGGCTAGCGATGAGGATCTGGAATGGAGTAAGAGAAACAGGTAAAAAAGGAAAGAGGCACCAACAGTAGCGTGTTTTCGTCTATATGCCTTGGTGTATGCAGCAGATAAGACGACTCCTGTAAAGGCGCGCGACGACCAATACAAGATGTGGATGAAGTTTGAGGAAATATTCATGGTGGTACGTGAACTGAGATTACTAACAGGGCGCCCAGACCAAAACACGGGGATGATTAGCGTCTGTAATGAAAGCTTTTGGCTTAAAAACCTGACCTCAAATCAGTGACGGTACCGAACCGGTTTTACAGTAACGGACTCCATACCGTATCCAACCCCAACCGGGAGGACCAGAAAACAGAGTTCATCTAACCTCTAACCACTGACCAATCTGGGAACAGTAGTTCTCAAAGAGCCCTAGGGCCGACTCGGCATAGCTTAATGGGTCAAAGAGGTAAGCAAAATTGTCGCACGTTAATATCCAATCTAGTGGCAACGGTATATGAATGGCGTGGGAACGACCAAATTTTGTGAGATAAGTGCGCTGCGCTGATAAATGAAGTCGGTAACAAGTTACAGATAATTACACATATTTCCAGCGGTGGAATAGTGAAGAACGAGACGGGCGCACCAGTAGCACTTAGAGGTGCGAAGGATTAGGATACTAGATTGCAGTAGAAGTTCATTTAGGTGACACAGTTACATGCGCGTTTCGGTAAAGTCATAGAAAGGATATAACACAATGTCCGCTGTTAGCTCTTGATCATTTGCATACTGAGTGGAAATCCAAAGAGCGAAAAATTGTATTTAAAAGTAAGGGCACAGCAAAGCTAAAAACATTAGCTGTCGTGTGTAGCATCTCATTCGCTCCAACGCCGAATTCTGTACACATTTTGGAGACGTTCAATAGCGCTGACCAAACAACGGAAGAAATGTGGAAAGAAAAAACACTCACTTTTAACTTCCTCCAGATCCCATATTCGGATTGAGCCCGATAACGACCCTGCGGCCACGCGATCTTCCTCCTGACTAAACTCAGTTGCCTCAACTGATGAAGTGTGACCAGTCAGGCTAAGGATGCAGGTAGGCTTGCCAACTGCCCATAATTTTACTCGCCGATCCTCTCCACCGGTAGCCATCACGCGGCCAGACTTTCGGCCGAGACAAACACATGTTACGGCGCCGGGAGAGTGTGCAACACACTCCTCTGTGAAAGGGAAGTTCAGAAAGCAGAATTCATGGGTTGGTATAAAGGTGTATGAAATAATTCAGTTCACTTCAATCCAGCTAAACACTGACGGTCCGAACACTGAAAAGTGATGGAGCAAGTTGTCACAACATGTATAGCCAGGATAATATTTTCAAAAACAACAAGAAATAGGAGGCAGGCAGCAAGCAGAGATAAGAGAAGCGGTACGCATAAGTAGTCCGTTGAGCGGTTAAGAGACAGGCCCAAGAGACCTAATGCAGAAAGGACGCTCCGTTCGTACTGTGTCCCGATGGATAAGGTCGCTAAACACATTTTTGGTTCCAAAAGCGAAGACGGCACGTAAGAATAAGACAAAGTCCATCAGCGAAGTTGTTTGCGCTTTCATCCCATTCCGAAACATCGTCGATGGGCCACCCCGCGGTTTCGCCTAACTACGTCATATTATGCGCACCGAGTCGGGGTGTGAAGGAGTACGCTGCGGAGGTGATTAAGTGAAAGTAAGCGGTTCACGTTGAGTAGATGCTTCTGTGCCACAGGGCGCATTTTCATATGCAAACCGGAAAAATTTCACTGGTGATCCGAAAACACAAGTAATCAAGAAGCCAGTTTATTAGAGGCTTCTGCACGAAATGACCACTTTTACGACCCGTACAGTAGCATCAGAATCCTCGGTGCGTTTTACACCGTATCTGACTGATAGAACGATATATGCCTAAGAAGGAACGAAAAGAAAGAAAGTCACATGGGCTCGGTGATCAGTGAGTAAGTTTCTTCACCGACGGAATCACCATCGGTAACAAAACCATTGATCAATTAGGTCGAGACAAGATTGGACTTTCACATGGTACGACGATCTGCGCACTTCTTCGACTCATTGAAGTACAATGTGTAGTGTATACGAGCATGAGAGTTACGCCTACGAGATAGGTCAATGGTTAGAGGCCAGAAGACGGAGCAGCACCGGAAAGATTTCGTTGCCACCTATGATTTGCACCCTCGAAATGCAAGGTCCTCTCAGACTGACAGGGAGTCATTCACCTTTGGGTTGACTCATAGTGGTGATAAATTAGAAGGCGGCCAGAAATTTAAGTACCTAGGCAGCTATATTTGAGCCACTGACGGTATAGCAAAAGCTCGAAAGGATTCTGTCACCCATTGTCCCTTGTGACGCTGGTGCAACATCACTGTCGCTCTGAAGGACAGAGTTTACAAAACACCAGTGCCTTCAACCCTCCGGTACGGCAATGAAACCTAGTCCATCAGATCGGATATAAGAAACCTAGTTACACTCGACTATCACGGTCAACGCGGCTTGGATCACGACTGGTGGGAACACTGCACAAACAATGAGCCTGTTCGGCTCGTATTTGGTGCAGGAACAGTGAGTGAAGCGCTCGGCACCGTTACACAACGTACCAGGCTCCGATGACTAAGCCAAATGCTCGGCATGTCAACACACCAACTCGCACGACGTGCGTTGTTTGGGCGACCGGCGTCTTGACGGAAGAAGAGTGGACACTAAGCGATGAGGTGGACAAGAGGAATGGAAACCCTCACTTAGAAAGTGGTGTTTGTTGCCGCATTCCGGCTCCGCAAGGTCCAAAAGACAATACGCTAGTTGACATGGCGAAAAGCTGACCTAAAAGGTGTTGTGTTATATGTTTGTCCCTCCCGCTCCCCCCTCCAACAATGATGACACTCGATGCATTCCATCGCGATGAGACTGGAAGAGACTGGTGCGAGGGATTGTGTAACTCAATGATCCATCGAGTTATGCTGAGTGGTGCCTTTGCACATTTAAAGCCACTCATACCAGATTGGTCAATGGTTAGAGGCCAGAAAAACTCCTGGCCCTCCAGGTTTTGTGTTGGAGTGACCGTAACTCCTTACACCGTAAAACGGACTCTTTGTAGCCCAATGCAAAATCCCAGTGCCTTGAATCAAAACCCTGGTGGATAACTCAAATCTTTCTGCTGTCTATGCATGGGCATCCTAGAAGCATGTTGCCCATGCAATACAATGAAAATTTTCTTAAAGATATTCTTTGCGCTGACCTGCGAGGATAAGTAATGGTGCTGTGTCTGCTGAATCGAGCATAGTGGATTTGGATGAAGATGCTACTGCTCGGACTGTCTTCTTACTCACCTCGCGCTTTTTCATCCTCATGGTCCCGCTCCAACTTCACTTTTATCCCCATTTTCATATCAGCAATTATTGGCCCTCCCCACTTTGCTTCAACAGTCACTTGTCATCTAGTTTCCGCTCACACGCTATGGCAGTGTCGCTCCGGTCCAGTCGACAAGTTCATGTTCAACCAAGCGGAGAAGATCCGTTCAGCCGTTTCTGTTCTGAGCGCACCACCATTCCTAAGACTGGCATGCCTCAAGCTGCACAGATTGGCCAACAGGCAACACTTGTCTTAGCACTATGGACCGAATCGATCGACACCTGCTGCTTTTCGGAAACTGGCCAGCAAGATTCGTGTTCCGTGATTACCCTACAACTTGAAGTTGAAAACCAGCAAGGTCCCACAGAACTTTAAATTGAAACACTAGTAAGATCTAAATTCACGCAGTATAAAAGGGATTTTTGCATAAAGAATGATGCCCCTAACATATATCGCATACGGTGCGAAATGGCAAAAATATATTTCCTTGCTTTTCCATCCACATACTTGACTGAATGTGAATTCAGCAAAGTGGTTTCTCCAACAAATGTAGAAACAAGCTGAACATGAGAGCAAGAGAAAAGCTTCGACTCATGCTGTCAAGTCGGGAGCCGAACATAAGCGAGCTTACATAAGAGACATCAGGTTCAATGCTCGCATTATTACTTCGACCAACATATTGCTAAGAAGTTACTATACCTATTACTTCATGACATGCCTTACAGTTAAAAGCCATCAACAAGTAAATACAATGTTCAATATTGATGGACTTTTGTGTAATTACAGGTAAGTGGCTTGATGTTGCCGCACAATGGATGTTATCTCGAGGCTGTGAAAGTTAAAAAAGAGGTTTATAAGGGAAAGTGTAGATACCAGCGTTAAAAATTTACCCATCATAACAAAAGATACCAATATGACCACTGGAAACAACAGACTCAAGTCTGTTCGTTACTGCGGATTGCCAAAATTGTGGTGATCAAGAGTACAAGGCCATGAGAAATGGAAACGTTCAAAACGGGGTCACATTTGAATGAAGGTTCAGAATGCGTGCACTAATACACAAAAACAATGCCATCTGGTCCGTTTGGTAGTATACTTGGGGGGGGGGAGTTCAATTGGTTTGCTGCTCCTGGACCTTTCATATTCAGGTTGTGCAGAATGAAATACAGCCAAGAACCTAAAAGGCCAAACGCATGATCAGGTCTGAAACGTAATCACAACTCCCAATCGTTTTCGCACCTTTGGTCGGGATTCCCTCACACCCGCAGTATTTCAGAATGGCAACAAGATGCAAGATGCAGTCGCAACGAATAAGCTGGCCACAGAGCATAAGCCTGGTGCCGGTAGCAGCAACGCCATTGGCTCAAATTGCCGATGGTCGCCTCACTGGGAAACTAGAATCCCAACTGAAAGAGGAGCAGATTAATCTTTGTCCACGATGAGGATATATAAGTTATAGATTCCCTCTGCGATAGGTCCTAGAACAGCGTCACACATGCCACAAACGGAGAACAGCTGTTACTCGATCACAGAAGTAAATTTGACTTAATCGATCGGTCCAAGGTGATCGACTTGCTCTACATACCCAGTACTCAAACACCACAGGTTGCGTCAGGGGCTATGGCGGATTGCCAGACGCTTTCCGACCAAAACTCGTTTTCGCCAGAGTTGTCTCATTTCTTCACTAGTGCTCAACATTATTGCGAATTCCTTACGAAGTTCTCCCTCGTAGAATCTCAAGGTGGGCAACGAAATGTCGTCTGGTGGAAAAGCGATTATGCGTTGCTTTGACTTGAGAGGCGGCACAGTCAAGCCTGAATAAACAATCTGCAGGCTGACATAACTTGACATGTGTTTTGTATCTTCAAAGTACAAAGCGCTGTTATAGAACCCACCATGCCATTTCATGACACCAGAATATTGAGAGAGGAAATAGAGATAGTTGATCAATTCACCTAACTTTGCAGCTGCGTTAGGAGCAATGACGGATGGATGCTGAAGCCATTTCACGTATTGAGAATGCTAGGATCGTTTTTGTGAGCTTAGTACATCCGTGGAGTCGGAGGACCGTAATGCAAGCCACAATGACAGTCGCTCTATTCTATGGCAGAGACTTCGCTACCGATTGAGGAAGTGAGCCGCCATCTGGTCTCTCATCATTGCTATTTCCAGAGTATTACTGATGTTGGCTGGCACCAGCGTGTCCGAAGTCATGTTGCGCGCAGCTGAGCACTAGATGCATCGTAACAGCACTGGACCCATTGAGCTACATTAGGCAATGCGCCCAGGTCCAAAGAAAACTATTCCTATCAAGCTGGTCAACGGTCAGAAGTTAGACGAACTCAGTCCTCTGGTTTTCTAGGATGTGGCTTGGAAATAGGATGGCGTCCATTTCTGTGAAACAGGATCGTTGTCATCTCCCCAATGTCCTGCGGAGAGGCTTTTGAACCAAAGGCTCTGGTTGAGGACCTTAATCATTTGCCTGTCTAGGTCTAGGCGCTATGGCAATATCTAAACCGACATACAACCATGACTATTTCATTCATCGGATGTCGCACAGCTTTACAACGGTCGACTAATCTGCTGCATACAGCAGGGTAAATAAGCGAAAATATGCTACTGCAGATGCCTCATTTTTTTAATTTCTACATGAATTGCTTGCTCCCCTCCAGATCATCTCTTCTGCAACTCCCAACTAAATTGAAAATAGCTGTAATACTAACGTAGTTCTGCCATATGCAGCTATATTTCCGCACCATCCAATGGACTTAAAAATTCACAACCTAAGACAAACAGGCCAACAGGCTGCATTCGCATGCACAGTGGAGAC